AAAGCGGGGGAGAGCAAATTCTTAGATTTTGATATTTAAAGCCATAAATGGAAAATAAATATAAAAGCATTTAACTGACATGCACGTACACAATCGCAAAAGCAATTTTAAGTTTAATTATTTTCATCACTTTCGTTGAGTGTCGTCAATCTTTTATTTCTTTATGTATTTATTTATTTATTTGTTTTTTCCTGACTGATATGACGTCATTTTCATTGCTTGATAACATATTCGGCCAGGATTGCTCATGAAGTTCATAATTAACAATAAATTTTTCCTTTTTCCTTGTAGAATCTTTACAGACTTCATTTCATTGAGTCAAGTATTTTGTACCTTAATGGCCACTTGCAGGAGATTGTATTCTTATTGTGAAGAAAAAAAAATGTAGTCAACTTTTTCGAAAAACTTTGATCAAACGAACTACTTTCCATATATACATACATTTGTTAGAGGTGGAAGTAGCAATCTATCCTGAAACCACTATTGTTTGTACGACTAGATTTACTAAAAGAACTCTTTTATCGGACTTAATTTAATTGTTGACAATCATGATTGCGACACCGAAATGTTGCCTAAAATAGTAAGTAGAACAAGGTAATAAACTAACATTTTTTTTTTTTTTTTTGATTTTTTCCGCAGGTGACTCGTTTCAGAGTACGTTGAAACTAGCCAAAAAAGCGAAAAGTACCTAAAAGCCGAGAATCGTGCACGGCACAGTATTAAACGCCCTACAGCATTTCGCTTACTACATCTACTTGTATAATGACATCTTAGTATAAGGCGTTATATAAGAAATGGTGGGAAATATTGATCCGCGAATGTTCGTTCTTCGGTGAAAACATGGTTCAGGGTGTACTAAATTTTATCAAAATTTGTCAAAAATTTATGGTCTATAGGTTGAATACAAGAAAACACATTGAATAGATAGACAGACAACTTTAGATCAATTCAGAAAATGATTCAGAAAATTGTTTTGAATCGATCGTTACGAAAGGTAGGTCCATCTCGAGTCCTTGTATTGTAGGTATTCCATACATCCGCACCAAGTTAGTACACAATTTTTGAGATACAAGTTGTTTACGGTATAATAAAAAATATGTAGAGCTGAATATTATTTAAAACTCTTCACAGGTTTAAACACAAGCACTTGAGAATCGCATAGAAGAGCGATGAAATATGTAAATAACGTGTATTGTGTGAATGTTATGAAGTTCTTTGGAGTACCATCAAATTCTTTAAAAGGAATATTTTAAATATCGGAATTGTGTACTATATTAAGGTTTGCTCGGTCTATTTGGTAATGAAATATTATAAAATTATATGTACGTACATGTTTTTTTTTCTTACAGTTACATCGATCGATATGCATGTTTATCCACATTCTTTATCTATAAACGTGAATACGTGAGATCATAACTCTGTTGCATCAGAATTTATATTGAAAACTTTCCACGCTTAAATACAAACTAGTAAGTAGAACTTTTTTTTTTTTGTTTTTTTTTGTTTTTTTTTGTTTGCTTTGTTAAATTGAATTTAATTAATTAGTTTCAAAGTGAAATTGTTTTTGTTCATTCCTATCGGTTATTGTTTGCGCAAAAATAGATTAAGTGATTAAAAATAAATTTGTTAAATAACTGTAGATACGAAAAGAAGTTTGGAACGTTTTATTACCATAATATAATCAATACTCCGTCAAATGGTAATAAAAAATCAAAACCCGCTTATCAAGATTATCTCATCTGCAAGAAATGAATAGGATTTTGTACAAAATAAATAAAGAAACAGCAAAAACTTTGCATTTCTCTATGCCATTACGGCCGAAATCAAATTTTGGATTCGTTACAAACAAAAGTATATATTTTGTCTGATGTACCTTATGAAATGTTAGCCTGTGTGGAAATTTTTTTTTTTTTTTTTTTTTTTTGGAATATAATCAATCACTCACGTGTAACGTGATGGCGATGGTAAGCTAGCAGTCGGCAAGGAGAACGAGATCGGGAAGGATAGCAGCGTGCAACAGTGAATGTTGGACTGAACGATGACTCTATAATGACTGAGCACTCACTATAGCTGCAAGGAAGCATGATCAAATTGCACAGTGATTTGAGTCTGCTAACGTTAACTTTGTAGGCCCGACTCTTACCTATTTGGCGACGTAGCCGATGAATGCATTCAAGCGCATTCTTTTTTTTTATATTGGGTCATAGCGAAAAGTTTCCGCGGCTTTTTTCGCGGTTTCGAGCTTCTCCTTTTAGCCTGTTCTTTTCAAATAATTCTAAATTGCCGTGTGATTGACGTTTAGTACTTCCGCTATTTCCTGACAGCTTGCTGGCCGATCTTACTTCATCTTTTCATCGCTTTTTCAGTTGCTGTAAGGTGCATTTTTGACATCGAAATATCCGGAACGGAATCGAGCAAACCACTCCTGGTCCATCGCTGGCTACTACTTCTCTACCATCTCTCAGGCAATTTCCTAATTCCATGTCTGATCTTTTTAGGCTCGCCTCAAAAGAATCTGTGTGGGTATCGTTATAAGAGCCGGTGCACTGCAAGTTTTTCTATATAGTATTGAATTTCTTCGCAATGCAAACGCACTACATGAAATATCACGACTTTTAGACTCAAGCGTTCATTTTTCGTCGCACTTTTATCAATAATTATTTGCGACTTTGCCTCGTACTGATTCCGTTTAGTTGAAACAAATCATAATATTCCGCGCCCCCAGCTGACACCTCTCAAATAGGATCGCCATGAGTATTCATTTTCATCATGTTCTTCATGGTTGTTTGGACTGTGGAGTTCCAAACGCAATGAATGCTTATCACTGGCAAGGATTTAGTTACGCTATCCTCCGTATTAAGCCAGGAAAGTAAAGTTTCCGGCAAATGGCGGCTTTTTTTTTTTTTTTTTTTTTTTTTGAACAAAACTACATCTATTTAAAGCTCATAGAAAGTATGTTGTGCATGCTTTAGTGTGATAACCTATATAGTGGCACTTTCTAACGAACAAGCCATAGTACTACTTGTACTACTATCTCTTAAAAAAGGGACCGAACTAATTTGTATTTCGAGCAATATTCTATCGCTGCCGCTGGTTCGGCTAAAAGTGAGTGGATAGCTTGTGACACAATTCTTTACATAATTTAAATAAATAACAATTGAGCAACTTGCTGATTAAGCTGATGATTACAATGCCTTTAGGAAGTGAATAACAAATTTTGAGGTAATGAAACTCATGAACGGAGAGATAAGTGCCACGTATGCATGCTTACTTTGGATGAATGTAAGGGCTTTCTTTGTATGCATACATTTAAACAAACACTATAACGGTTAACTGTAATAAGAGAAAACGTAAGTTTTTCCGTGGTTACGGCGATGTAGCAGCATAGAAATCGAAGCCAACGCGCGTCCATAGAAAAACCGAGTTGGTTGCAACATCTGTGTCAATATTTTTTTGTTTTGTTTTCGATCGTTTCTCTGCCTGCCTGCCTGCCTGCCTGCCTTGGTATCAATAGCAGAATACTATTCGTTATTAAATTTTAGTTGACTTCAAATAAAAGCCAACAATCCATAAGTTTGTAAACGAATATATGTCTGTACGAATAGCCACCGTTATGCGCGTTACATCGCTTGCCTGCATTTTTAAATAGAAGCAAGAGAGGAAAGTCCGTATGCGTACACGTTTATATGCATGCATATGTGTATGCTTATGTACGACATTATCCATATAATCACAAAGGATGTAAACAGAAAATAATTCTGAGCATTCTATATGTATATATATATATAAAAAAAAAAAGAAAAGCAAAACCATCTTACACAGAGGTTTTGCGCACATTTGTAGTTCTACGTTATATCACAATAAGCCTATATGGACGGCCTTTGAAAATGATTTTATTGTACTCACTAACAACAAAAGTTGTTGGTACAACTATTTTGTCGTTATTTGTTATCGTAACGGGAAGACGCATTATGAGATATCTCATAATTCACACACATATATATTTTTGATCTAAGAGAGTTAGATTGACTATAGGTCGAAGCAACCATTTTTTTATATATGTCTGTCTGTCTGTCTGTCTGCCTGTCTGTCTGTCTGCCTGTCTATTCATTCTTAATTTCGAAAAAGTGCTACTCTAGAGTTTGTGTTTTAGCCTAAGAGGTTCCGAGCATTAAATGTGAAAACAAGTGTAATTCCCTTCTGTTATATATATAGAAGAGTTAACACCGACTATATTATACTTTCACCAATCGCTTTTCATCTTCATTTTTTAATCTCTGCCCAATTTTGCAAAAATATTTTATAAATTATTCGATGGAATTCAAACTAAAAAATCATTGAAATTAAAAATCAAAAGTACACATATATGTTGGGTATCCGGAATTCGTTTAAAGGCGAATATCGGTTTCTTGGTTGCTTTCTTTTGTGTTTTGCACAGATATATATATATGTATATACATTCATATATATATGTGTAGGCATGTATATACACGAATACATATATATGAATGGGTACATGTTGCTTTTGTTGCACTATTTGCGCCACAAGCTCTGCATCATAGGCTTTTGTAAATTTTCCTTTGTTTTGGGCATTGTTATCATTATTATTATGTAGTAGTTGTTGTTGAATACCCAAACTGAGAGCTTAGCATTTAAGAGAAATTGAGAATTTTCATTTTTCAGGCAAGTCGTGTGTGATTTAATTAATAAAATTCTAGTTTAGATCCTTACTAAATCTCTTATTAAATTAATGCTTTTAAAGTCCTTATTTATTTTTTTTTTATTGAGAGCAAAAAAAAAAGAAAAAATTCAAGTCATACTATGATTGTATTCAACTAAAGTTGCTGATAAATCCGTATCAACTTGGTTCTAATGACAATAACAGTGCACTGTGTTGTTATGCGCATCCGGTAAACACATTATAAATTTATACACAAAAAATAGCTTAAAGCGTTTTCTCCGTACCACTCATGTATCAAATATGTCATAATTAAATAAATATATATATATATATATATATATATATATATATATTACATTGCTCGGAAGGCGCGTGAGATGCGATTTCGCGTTTGCGGTTTTTGGTATGAAAGAATTTTAAAAATTATTCTTCCAACAAAAATTGGCGGCACTGACCAGTAGATTGAAATTCCAAAGTAAAATAGAAAAATTATTAATAGACATATCTCAGTTAAGTATATATGTTAATAACACGTGCACAACTTTTCTTAACTGAGCTCTACTTATTTAGTTCTCTAAACAGATTTGTGTGTGTATTTCTTAACTTGAAATTGCATAGAATATGTTTTTTTTTTTTTTTTTTTTTGCCTTTATCCAAATTGCACAAGTAAAGGCATTGCAGTAGCGCGTCATAGCCCCCCATTAAATACTCTACACCACTTCGTTCAATACGGTTATTGATTTAATGACTTTTTAAAATAAAGTGTTATATGGGGAAATGATTGGAAAAGTGGTCCGATATGAACTATTTTCAATAGTGTTTATCATTGGGCTAAATCACTATCTCGAGGATTGTGACCTGTATGTTAAATACAACAAAAGAACAAGACAGCCATCCATCGATTCGGAAAGTGAATCTGGTTCGATCGGTGTAGTAAAAGCTAAATCTATTTAAAGTCCTTGTAGGTATTGCATACATTTGCACAAACTTAAGCAGTTTACCGTATAAAAATAAAAATTAGTAGCTTAAGTCTAGGTTTTCAAAAAAATAAAATTATGCTTTTTCATGTGATCTTTATCTCATCAAGCTTGGCTGTTGCAAAAAGATAGCCAAGCTTTTTTCATTCCAATCGAGCGAGTTTGATTGAGTTGATTCGAGTTCTTTTGTTATACCCTATGCTGTTTGTGGTATAGTTTGCAACACTCACAAGTAGCTGTGTTAGTAAGCATCGCGACTACCAGGTCAGTGCTCGCGGATTCAAATCTTAGTGCGCTAGAGTTTTCTTTTTCGTCGGTCGTTTGGTCGTTGGGCAGACAAGAACTGCGCTGTGGCCAACACCACCACCTCTCTATTTCTTCTTTCCTTTGTCCTTTTTCCTCATTTCTCTCTGATCGCTACCGCGCTACGCATATAGGGGGCATTCCCTGAGTGATTGATCATATATATACATATACAAAAAAAAAAAAGAAAAGATATATGTAACTCTTACTATACAGATCGATTTAAAATTGCTTTTGAAACGATTTAATCTTACTTGTCCGTCTCTCTAATGTTGATCAAGGATTTTTTTTTGTGTTCAATCTACGAAATTTAGTACATTGATGTATTTTTGATTGGCTCGCGACTACTTTAGAGCCAGCCTCCTATGTACGATCTTATTTTGAAAACATTTTTGTAGGAGAAAGTTTACAATTTTCAACCTTTCTCCACAAAAATCATGCGACAATAGATTTAGTTGATGCGAAAAATTTAGATCGAATGGCGTAGTTTTTAGCACCCGTTCTCTTATAAGAGTGGTCAGGAAAATGTAGTCTTTATGTGAAAAAAAAAAAAAAAAAAAAAAATTTTTTTAATGTTTGATAATGAAAATGAGTACAAGTGTAGCAAATTGGGACAGAGTAGATCACCATTATGATGAAAATTGCTCGGTAGTAATAGTCTGACATAATAATTAAATATAGTATAGGTGGGCCAAGTAGATATATTTTTTGGTCCCCAATTTATATAAGGATATAAAGCAATACTTTTGATATTTTATAATGACAATAGGTGAATAAGTAATTAACACCAACTTTAACTTCAGGATATTTCAAGATTGGCCCTACTCGACTGCCATGTTGTGATTTGTTTTACCCAAAAATCAGCCGAAGCAACTTTCTAGAAAGATGTCAAGGGACGGTCGCAAGTTTAACTAACTTAACTACATTTGTGTTAATTAATTAATTAATAGAGAATCTTGCGTGCATAGAGGCAAAGGTATTCAATTATCCATTAAACGTTTTTAATAAATAAATAATAAATAAACAAATAAATATAATAATTGGAAAAATAAAAAGTTTCAAAATGATATTCGCCCCGCCATCGGCCATCGGCCATCGGCTATCTTTTCGCTTAAAAAATAGAAAAACTTTGCTTGTCCTATTTCTATGTAGAAGGTACGTGAAAAGTTGTATATCTATGCCTTTTGTAGTTTATAAGTAACAACAAAAAGAATCAATTTTTTTTTGGTGAAACAGAGGTGTTCTCAGTTTATATTGTATTGCGAGTGTGTCCTTTTACTGATTCAGGCCGGTTTCAATATCAATTCACTCCTACAGTGACATTCAATGCTTTTGCAAAATTCGAAACTGGTATCAGGAGAACGTTTATTGCATTAATCGACGGAAGCTGGCATATGGAACGACAGACATATTGTCTGTCTGGATTCGGTATATGGTATTTACCAAGAATATATGTATATTTCTTGTGGAGTCTTTGAAGTTTCCTTTTGCGTGTTGGAAAGAATATTGGCGAAGCGAAAACATCCCCATCGTTCGGTGGTGAGTATAGAAAGCTTTAGTTAGCTCTTTAGTTTTTTAATTTTAAGGATTTAAAGTTTACAAGTAATGTTTCTATTTGAAGTGAATTTTTTTTGTTTTCTAAAAAACAAAAACTGCAAAATTTCTCACAATCATTTAAGAGAACAATTACGACGATGCGAAATCTGATGAGAAAATTTACTAAATGTAAATGAAAGCATGAAATCCTTTGCAAACCATAAATAAATTACTTTAATTAAAGATTATAGATAGTGTTGTTTTGTGCTTTTTCTCTCTTCTTATTTAAGTGGATTCTTGTTCTTTTTTTTTATTTTTTTTTTTTCATTTTTTGCAAACGACTTTACCTCGTGCTCTTCACTTTGCAAATGTGCCTGTGATGGATGGTTGCGATATATATATATATATATGTATATGTGTTTCATTATATGAATTCGAGTAGTCTAGTTAAACATATGTACTTTTAATTGAGTCTTAAATCAATAGCATTTAGGGAATTCTTTTTGCTCGTAAAATTAAATGATAAGATATCGTTACCAGTAAAAAGGGATTTGCACGCTCTTCTTATAGGCGAAATAGAGTAACATTTCATATGGCAAATGCTCAAAGATCATAAGATATTTCCATAAAAAGGTTTACTACAGTTTAGAATTAATTGTTAGCGGAATCAGTTAAGCGAGCCTCTTAAGCTTAGTTAAGTACGAATGTCGACATGAAATTTTTATACACAACGCAGCTAAATGAGTTTAAAGTGAAAGAAAAAATAAATCAATAAATAAATAAAAAGGATACACCGTAAAAGGCTTCTATGATGTTCAGTTTTCTGCTAGTGCGATCTTTCACAGTCCCAGTCTTAGAATTGCATGATAGGGCAAGATATGTGATTAGAGCTTTATCAGGCTTAAGTTTAGAGTTTGAAAAGGTTATGCTACTTAGTATTTATTTACCAGCCACCAATAGCGCACGTTCACAGTGAATTGCTACACATTTAGAAAACGTGGGTCGTCGCTATATCAAATAATACTTTAAGTTGGACGACAATCGGCAAAAACTAATAAGGAGCCGAATCAGATTCTATTTTGGGGAAAATTAAATACTACTCTCTTCACAGCAAAAAAATATTGCGTGGCAGGCAGAGTTGAAAGGAGGCAACACGAGCTGTCAAGAAGAACGCGAAGATAATGAACCGATTCACACTTCCGTTTTGACGGGAGTCAATATAAGGACACTTTTTCCTTTCTAAACTTTTCTATTTTCTTTGCCAGCTCCGGTATTGTTTAGAATACGCTCATCCTCGTAAATGATATTTCACTAAAATTAAAATATGTTGACGTTTACAGATGAAAGGTAACAAAAATTGATGCTTTTAAACAAATGGGTTTGAGAAAAATAATTCATCGCATGGCACCTAAAATTCAGTTTTGTTATTATAAATACACTGGATGCGGGAACAGGACTTTACTTCTTCTATATGGAAGAGTAAGGGAGTAATCGCAGGCTGCTGATTAAAATAATGCTTTCTTTGCACAATATAGTTTCTTGGAGCTTTGAATGGGTGCAGTTCGGTGCTAAAAACAAACGTCATTTGCGGGAAGTGTTGCTTTTCTGCAACTACGTTCTTACGAGTGATAAACTTTACGATATTCACAGTAGACACAACTATTAATATTGATGATCAAGCTGAATATTCATGCATGCGCGGCTTTGCTTGGAGAGAGTGAGAGAACGTTACCAATAACAATTGATAAAACTTCGGCCCGATATTTACAAAAAAATTACATGAAGAAATAACGTCCGATATTTGAAATGATTTTCTACATAATCCGATCCGAGATCAGTTTCTCTCGTCATTGCTAAACTTACACAAGTTAATGTAAAACTAATTGAACGCCAGCAGCATAGCAACATAGGCTATTGACTCTATTTTAGAAAAGCAGTTTAGATATTGCGTTTAGTAGCTTTAATAAAGTAATATGTTGGATTGATATTGTATGATCTGTAGCTGATTTCAGGACGTCCATAGGATTAGTTGATCCGATTGTGATTCTTTTAATAAAAAACAAAAATTTAGGCAGCCACGAAGAATGTGTTTCTTTGTATGAAATTGCCGACAATAGCAGAATGGAGAAGAAGACTTCTTTAAGACCCATTGATCTTGATTTTCTCCATATTTTTTGGATATAATGGTGCAACTACCTAGGTGAGTGTTAACACGGGATAAGTGCTAACTTTTAACTATTGTAGATTTGCTTCCATGAATTTCTCTATAATTTTTCTTCCAATGTGTCTTTGAAGGTCTACCGCTTCTCTCCTGATATCGTCCATTATTAAAAGTGCAAACGCAGCAGGCATCGCCGCGCGATCAGCACGATCATTTCCGAATGAACCGATATGACTAGGTATCCAAAGCTTATGGTTATCTTACATCCGTTTCGCAAAAAGAGATGAACGTTTTCTTTCTCTTATCGAAAACACACAAACATTTCGTTACAAAAGTAACGAAAACGTATTCTTTTAACACTTTTTTAAATGTGTGTTAATTTTAAAACAAATTTCACATCCTATACATAAGTGTACGTGTATGCTACGTAGCATTGCTCGTACGCACATATGGCATCGTATGTAATACGTACGTACGTATAGCATGCTGCATTATGCATACGTGATAATATGACAGAAAAATTATTGCACAAAAACCGTTAATGAGAAATATTTTCTTGTTTTTTAGTTTAGTTGATTTTTCAATCCTTATAAGTCGGTTTTTTTTTTTTATTTATTTATTTACTTTTTTTGAATCTAGCGAGAAGAGACGAGAAAAAACAACTTAACGCTAAACTTGCTGTTCTAATCAAGCAAAGCTTGTAAAAAAAAAAAAAAAAACGTGCAATCGTAATCATATGAATAAAATACAAAGTTTAGAGGATATATTCCTATGCGACACAAAATATTTGATAAGCTTAATAACCGTTCTACGGTTGGTATGAACGAAACTTTTATTAAAGCGTAAATGTGTACAAATTGAAGGCAAAAAAAAAAAAAAAAAAAAAAGCAAAATCACTTTAACTAAATACCATGCACATTTGAATGGTAATAATAATAATAATAATAATAATAAAACACACACAAATAAACACACACACACACACACACACATGCAACATGCATCCAATTAAGTACAATAAGTGAGTTGGTTTTAGAAGAAATTCGAAACACTTTAACTTATTCTTTACATTTTTTATTTATTTATTTTTTTTTTTTTGCAATCGCTTTCTAGCATAAGTTAAGAATTTATTATAACTCTTTTCAGAAGAAGGTTTAAGAAGTGAAACAAATATTGTAATCGCATGCTTTATATCTATATCTACCTATATTTTGAGTAATATTTTCATGCATTTTGGACCGCGAGAGCTCACACACACACACACACACTTCTAAATAGTAGGTTTCCTTTATATCTAGAGCAAACTAAGCTAAACGGATTGTCTTATGGCATTTTTAAAATCGATTCTCTTTCTATTGTAGCAGTAGCAGTAGCAGTAGCCTTCGAAGCGGATATGCGCTTAGGCGTATGCAGCAAATGAAATGACAAAGTGAGTAAACCTATGTTTCTTAGTAGAATAGTAGTGAGTATTTAAAGGCAAGAAAAAAAGTAATAATGACAACAATAACGTTACAGTTTAACGAACCGTATGTAATAGTTATAGTATACAAAATGAACACTATGTGTACACTGTGTAACAACAAATCGTTAAATAGCTAATAACAACTAAGGGTATACAAACGAGGTGAAGGTGGTTACAACAACGAGACAGCGAAAACAAACGATGCATATATTACGTACATCGTATCGAGAAATTGATCGAAAAAAGTATCAGAAGCAATTTAGAAAGCTTCAGTTTACATTCTCTTCGATAATCTATCACTTACGGTTGAAAAAAAAAAAACACGAAAAAAAATACAAAGGAATGGAATTTTCATTTATAACTATTGAATAAATACTTGCAACCGTGATCGATCCATTGTTGAGCTTGCTCTATCCAATTAAGCCGCTATTTTATAATAGAATTTGCCAGAGTTGAATATCTTATATAATGACCGACATACGGCCACACGAAGAATATCAATTTTCCGATGTGTAGGAGAGTGCATTTTAAAATTCTTTAGTATAAAACGAAATAATTACAAAAAAAAAAGAAAAAAAAAAAAAAGTTAAATACTTTATAAATAATATTTAATATGTGGAGTTTTGCATTAGTTTCTTAAATGCGAATTAAAAAAAAAAAAAAAAAGCAAAAAACACGTTTAAAAGTTGCATCCAATGTTAGCATTAAATGCAAATATTTGGATTTATTTACAGGCTCGCCTCTAGGTATTTTAATAAACAAAAATTGGAGTACAAAAAAATACTATATAAATAAAACACTTTCCGTACTCCGCATCGCTTATATCATCACCCGTAGATATCAGCGCACAATCTTAGTTATCCCCGGTATAAGTACATGCAACATGTACACTGACGACAATCCTATGCTATCATACAAATGAAATAGTACGGGTTTTGTGCTCAACATGGATTTCTCATTTCTTCTTCTTCTTTTTCTCCTCCTCTCCTACATATTTACATGTTTTATCTGAATAATTTATATTGAAAAGCAAAGAGTGGAAGGACAGAGTTTGGTTGGTTTAGACCATTTATTTATCATCACAACAACAAAAGCCACAAAAGTAGCGCCATCATCATCGTCGCCAGATACGAGCGCGTTATCATTGTCAAAAAGGGTTGGGCGGACACACTGCACGGCAATTGAGGATTGCCAACGTTATTTATTGTTTGGTGCATTGTTATATTGGCATGTGTTTTATTTAAAATATCTATATATGAGTGTTTGTAAATATTTTAATGCGTAAATACATAAAGACGCGAGTTTGTTGACATTACTTACAGTCAGTCGTCCGTTGTACGCCTACCGTGGTTAAGATACGGATTTATATTTAATATGTTGACTTGCATGGCTTTACGTACGTTTCTCTCTCTCTCTTTCCCTCTCTCTCTCGCTATTTTTATACTTCTCTCTCTCTCTATATATATATATATATATATATATATATATATATATATATATATGTATATATAGGGGCATCCAATGTGTGGTTCCGAAAGTAAACGTAAATGTACTTTTGATTGAGATTTGGATCAGATTTCTTTTCAATATATATATATATCTTCTAAGCGGTTGTAGAGCGAACAGAAATTGTTAAAGCATATACAAAACCAATGAATCCACGGTTACCTTTCGTGCATATTATGATGGGATTATGCGTGCATTTGGTTAAATGATATCGTAGATAAGGATATTTGTCTCGTTGATGTAAACAAATAATCACACATCTGATGTCCCGAGAGAACTTTAATATGGTCGATGGGCTGTAAATTTCAATTTTGAACATTTGAAAATTGCAATGCAATTACGGTCTACAGAAACACGATAAGTGAATTGCTTATGGTAGAAATTAGATGGTTTTGACTTGAATGATATATGGTTTCAACAAAATGACGCAATATGCGCAACATTCCGTGGCATAAGCAATATATTGGATCATGCGATGTAACTCTATTAAATTTGTTTACATTGGGCTTATGTGGGGAGCATTCGCTTACTCCAATAAATCATGAACTGTCAATGAGAGCTTATTCATCAAGACTCTTTGTGTCATTAGTGCAAAAAGAGCAAATTTTGGTGGAAAAGCGTTCCACCTGTTCCAAGTGTACATGAAATCATTTTTAAGTAAAAATGGCTTGGTACCAATAAGTACAAAAAAGAAAGAAAAGAAAACACTTTTTTGATGACCCTATATATATTATTTACTAAAACGAATATGTATCCGTATCGTTCTTTCTCTAAAGTCGCTTTCTAACTGAGTAACTGAATTAAATACATTTTTAATCCCATTTAATCGTCCGCTGCTTGAAAACAGAATTCATGAAACGTTGGACAAGCGGTAACTACATTACAGTTTAATTTTCTCTTACGTTAAATAGAAAAATTTTTTTTTTTTTTTTTTTTTCTATTTTTGTTTTAAATTGCAATCTATCCTTAGGATAATCAGCAAATCTGGGGTATAGAAATTCGATGAGACAAACAATACCTAAAGAATTAGTTTGCTTCACTAAGTAAAATGACTTAAATTAACTGACTCTGGGTTGTTGCATAATTTATTTAGTAAACGAAATGACGTATTTAAGAGCATAACGTTGCTTAATTCAATTTTCTTATTCATAACAGCGCTCCAATGTTGTATGAAGAGTTAATGGCGCACTTTCTTCTTACAGATTTTGCGAGGAGCATTGTTATTATTGTTATCATATTATTATATGATTCATTTTTTTATTTCTTTTCAGGGCATGTCCCGCATACGTGCAGAAAGAAGTGGGAAAAGAAAGAAAGAGATAGAAAGTAGCCGCTGTCAAGTGACTACTGTGAGCCCACAAATCGGTAAATGCGAGCATTCGCTATAACTGCGTGTGACGAAAGTTAACTCTACCGCATTGATATTTGATTCCGCGAACTTACTTCGGACACGTGGAATTGTCACATGTCGTTCAAATTTTGCATATTCTCCATGCGGTCGTATCACTAAGTAGATAAGGCTCGCAATTACCAAAGACCAAGTGTAATCACAAACAGCACTGAAACTTGATTTGGCCACTCCTGCGTAAAGTATGGATCGCTATTTTTGAGATAATTTGATGAAATTTCATACAAGCGACAAGTTTTGGCTCAAGGAAGAACGCTATTGCAAATAGTTCGGGTCAGACTATTTTTTCGATTACTCCCCATATAAAGCTTTATTTTGAAAAATTGTTATTTGTATAACTGTATTAAACCAGGTGAAGTAAAGGGTTTAACGGCGTGCCTTGTCGTACTCTTTGTTTTGCTTAAAAATGCTAATAATTTTACGATAAAAGTGCATGTTCTTGTCATTGTGTTAATCACATAATCCCTTTACATTTTGCAGATCTACTCACTTGACGGAACTATTTCAGAGAAACATACCAACACATCGCTTATATCATCTTTTATAGGGTATGCGTAGCAGAGGAGAGTTCGTAACATTAAAATGCAAAGCGTTTGCTTTTTAGTTCAAACTAAAGGATGAACTATAACTTTCGAACGATCTGTTCAGATTGGTTCGCAAACGATTGAAAATTGTTTGTCGTTATAAGCTTTGGTTCGTTTCGTTGTTGCCCATTGGGATCTCGTTTTCTTTGCTCAGACCTCACTATCAGTTAGTCAGTAATATCTTGTTTGTGTTTATGACCGACAGCCGTCATTCTTTTCGTGAACTCTTCGCTTTGATGTTTGATTCTAAGACATCAGATCACTTTTATTAGAAGAATATTCTTCTTCTTTTTTTTTTGGTTAGATAAATCATCTTAATAAATCCTTCAATTTTCAGCACTTTTCGTTTTCAATATGAAATAAATGAACTGCCGTAGCCTTTGTAGCTTAACGAATTACCAGTGTTCCGTCAAAGTGTAACCTGTAGCCCAACTCTCTGCCAAAGAATATATTTTGTGTTTTTGTGAGTTTTGCAGTCGCTTTGCATAAGTGATAAAACCACTTCAACGTTTGCTGCTCTAACATTTTAATGCCCTTTTCTTAAAACCCTAAAAATATGCTCTATCATTTGATGCAAAATTTTGTTACGTGACGTGTCCTTTTTGTGTTTGTTTATTTATTTATTTATTTTTTACTTTTAATTGAAAATATTATGCAGAAATTATGTAATAAGAAATACTTTAGATTATAGAAAAGTCTAATTGGATTGGAAAGTTAGCAAAAGAAAATAAATTTCATAGTGATTTTATATCAAATATGACTCGCTTAGGCAAAAACAAAATGCTTTGCAATTTTCAATTGACTTTCGGAACCCTTACGACGATGGTCTTTCATTTATGTTCATCTAAGCTTTATCGCTTTTTCAAAATTAATATTTATTTATTCCTGAGTATTTTATTTTTCCCGTTTTTCATGTTTATGTTATGTATGCAAAACTTGTGTATGTGCATGTGAATGTATATGTTTATTTTTCTTCTTTATTTTGCTTAGTAAACTTAGTACTTACGTATGTCAGAGTCCATAAAACGGTGTAAAATTTTTTTTGAACTTTATTAGAACCATTGCCGTTGTCATGAATTTGTCAGAAGCGAAATAAGGGATAAACATGTACATATAAATAAACATAAATATACGTACATAAATATATAAATGTAAATGTAATAAAGTTTCGTGCATATTCAATAAAAAGTCGTATTCACATCAGCAAACAATAAAGTGTCATTAAGTTTATTACGAAATGTTATTAGGTTATATACGAGTAACTGGTAAGTCTTTCTAGATGCTGGCAACACTTGCAAGGGATCAGAAAGAAGAAACTAGTATACCGACGTTAATTATCAAATCGGATTGAATTCCTTCATATCTTGTTCATTTTAATATTGATTTATTTCCAAGTTATCTTAGATAACAATTTCATAAAAAGTTATTGTTGTGTCAGTCACCTCGTGATGCGTCTTGTGTTGATGTACTTGACGAGCAAGAAAATAAAAAATAAAATAACGGAAGCCACATAAATAACATCAAAATTCCTTTTCAAAAATCAGCAATGTTGACAGTTATTTTTACACTTTCCGACATGAAAATGCGAAAAATAAAATTTGTATTATTGTTCTTATATCGTATTGGAATTTACACTCATTTTCAAGGAAGTGCGCTACTAATACTATGCCGTACTGTTGTAATGCTGCAACTACTCCATGGAAAGTACAATTTTTGATCTTTAGTCTGCAGCGTAAATATTTCGTTAAAATGTACATAACATAGTTTTTGGACACTTGAACGAATTATTATGAGTTAATTAAACTGATATGTGCTAACCTATCCAAATGTTGTATCATTCCCTATTATTTGTTTTAATCGATGGCTTATTGTGCGGGTAAGCATCGCGTTCATCCTTGCAACGATATTTTAAAAAACGAATATTTTCGAGTTGCTCTTTCGATACGGAAAACTGCATAAGAGTAGCAACTAACGTTTGAGAATAATTTTAACCGAAAGATATGGAGTATAGTCACTTTGTCGAAACCTTTGCGACATCCAGAAGGACTTGATGCACCTTTTATTGTGCGAGTCGAAACAATTTAAGCTTGTTTGTCCGTCTATCTATTCTTTTCTAACTACCGTAGTGGTTTTACTTAATTTTTTAGTGAATGCTCAAATTTTGTACACATCTCTTAAACTACCTAAAATAGCTAGGTGTCTGTCTTCTACATTCCAAGACAATTAATTTAAAAAGTAGTTTGATCTTTATGATATTTATATAAACGGATGTGGAATGGAGCGTGCACTACCTTTATCATATTCATTGTCCACATGTATATTCTTGATTAACTTCCATCCGTCATATATGTTAGTTGTTGCAATCTCTCCGGTAAAATATCGTTGGTAAGGCGAATTCTGACTAAGGTACATTCTGACTAAACCAAGTTGGAATTCTAACATTCCTTCCGTACACATAATTATGGAAAAAAAAAACATTTTTTTTTTTTAAATTGTGAAAGTAATTAATTCAAGCGAGTCTCTTGTGTTCGTGGTCTGAAGAACTCCCGTTTTTGCTATTACTCTCTAAGCAGCAGCAACTATTATGAATATGCATCTATACGTAATTAAAACTTTCTAAGCGCATTCGAATTTTAAGAAAAATTTTATTTGCCATTTACAATGAGGGTGATTTGGATAAGCGCTGTGCTAACATGATTCACGTTTGATGGGTTGTGTGAGTACATTTGCAAGAGGATTTCGCTCATTCCACTGATGAAACTTAATATATTAAAAGCGAATAACTAACTACCTTAAGCTTTAATTGTTGGCTTAAAAGACCCCTTCGCATGTTAAAATTGATATAAAACGATGCCCTTGCACATGGCGAAACCTTAAATGGTCCAAAAATACCATTTTCCAAATATAGTTTTAAAGCAGCAATTTTAACTTGCATTTTTCTCATCAATTACTTTTCATCAGTTACTATTGAATAATCCCAACGTTATTGTCTTTGTTGTCGATGCTTTAATTTAAATCTGATTGCGTTTTTTTTTTTTCTACGCACGATCGAAGGGGATGGTCGAAACGTTCTCAAAACTTAGAAAGAAGCTTCAGAGACCCCATTAGGCATATACATACTTTGGTTAACACAAACATCTTAATTAATTTAAAATGGCTCGTCCGTCCGTTTAATTTTGTTATTGCTGCCGCTACGCATTCGCCAGCTATTGGCTTCAAATTCGCCAGAATCATTGGAAGACATTGCACGCAGCTTAATATTGAAAATGATACGTATCGATGAAGGGCCATGCCTGCAGTGCAACATAAGCTGAGGACACCTTTTTATTCTGAATATTTTACTCATTACCTATGAATTTTCCACGGCTATTCTATGAAAATCGATAAAATTTTCCAGACCCACCCAATGCTAAGGGAGAATGAAACTTTGGTTTTTCTGCTGAACATAATTTTTTCCATTGTCTTCTGTTCATAAATTGAACCTTTTCATTCAAATACTTAACAATCACAGAAAAATCAATATTTTTATATCCCTTACGTTATTCGCTAACTATAGCTATAGCTGTAGATTAAGTGATTTATGTTCAGATTGAAATTAAGGACAATTGCACGGCGTGGTGTTGCCAAGTTTTAATACCTTTCAAAAATAGTTAGCTTTTTTTTTTTCTTTTTTAATACTTAATATTATGCTTAATAAACGCCTCGAACATTATTCGGTTATTGTCTTTCCTTCCAACCCCAAAAAAAAAAAAAAAAAAAAATGATCAAAAATACATTTTTTTTTAAGGCTGCAACAGTGATGTTATCCCTTAAGCAGTAATCTAAAAATAACTAATATTTTATTAATTGTGGATGCATAAGTTAATTGATTGAAATCATTTATGCTGAATTTTCAAATAAATCTGTAAGCTACGGCTGGCAATTGCGATTTTAACGCCAACATCGATAAAATGACGAATAAGTCATGAGATTATAATCTTAATTGTTATGCAGAGGGAATGAAAGAGGCAGAAATAGAGAGGGAAAGAGAGTGAGTAAGAGTAAGAAAGAGAAAGGAAAGAAGGAAAAAAAGAAAGACAGAAAGAGGAAGAGAGAGAGAGAGAGAGAGAGAGAGAGAGAGAGAGAGAGAGAGAGAGAGAGAGAGAGAAAGAGAAAGAGAGAGAATGAGAGAGAAAGAGAGAGAGAGAGAGAGAGAGAGAGAGAGAGAGAGAGAAAATTGTGTTTTTTCAATTGATTATTTTACACAGTTATATTAAACACAGTCACGTTTACAATTAGAAAGCTGTTAACGCAACGTAAGAATCATTCTGTGAAAAGTTATAATTTAATTAGACACTAAGTGAAAATTCAACACCTAAACACGAGTGCAGTCCCTTAATTATATACGTGTATTTAACTACAAATAATATCTAAGCAGTCGAGGCATGTACACATATACGCGTACACGAACACATAGTGGATAAATAGGTGGAGGAGAAACGCGGAATATATTTTTGAAAAAGCAACCGTTAAGTTCAGAAAAATAGGAAAAATATTTGCTTTGTCCCAAGTAAGGCGATTTGCCCCGTTCTGCCGATTTGTGATTATCAAGCCCATAAATATTTTCTCTGTTTGGCGCGAATTGTTTATCGAGCCATCTTTTCACTTTTTCACATTCTTTCTTCTTTCTTTTTTTTTCAATACGATCCGTTACTCGGAGGCGGTACCCTTATACGTGTGGAAAGGAGTGTGAGAAGGGAGGAAGAGATTAAGAGCGGCCGCAGTCTATGCACTCATTATTCTTTACCACACTAAGATTGGAACCAGCGATCGAGTAATTTTTTCGCATAGTCATACAACAAAACAAAACGCGGCAACCTAGTAGTAATTGAAAGGAGCCTAGTTTGCTAAGTAGGTCGCATAGGCTACCACCAGCTAAATGGATGCTTTCAACAAACCGGGATAGGTTTTACTATTTATGGTAAAGTATTGTCATCGGAAAAGATGACCTTATGTTGCTTTTTCAATGGTCCGGTCGATTTTCGAACAGTGAACGATTTAAATCGATCAATCGTTGCTGAGGGTCGACCGCTTCGACAGGCTTTAGTAGACCGCATCCTTCTGGTTTTTAGCAAACGCAGAACGTCGCCTTCTTGGCAAAGAGATTTGGTCCTGCGACGGGTGTGCATAATGTGCCTTAATCTACTCCCGGTATTTTGCGCTTGGGATTCTTAAAATAAATCCATTCTCCGTCGACAGATAAGTTACGATGCGAAAGCGAAAACAAATTATATTTGCTGTCTTTTCGTACATATACGATTCTATTTATGCCACCAAAACGCATATTCACTTAAAAAGCCCAGAATTCTGTACGCTTTTACTTTTTACACGTTTGATATAATGTGACGTCGCGGATCAAGAAACTTTTAACCGAATTCTTGACCATACAATTAATGGTTACTAAGTGAGCTACAGTAGTGCTACTACTGTTAGTGATAACAGACACAACGAAAGATGCTAAGAGTTTATTTTACCTTTTATATTTTGAACAATTTCGTAGCATATCTTATTATTTAGTTGTCACTGGATTTAATTGCAAATCTCTCCCTCTTCTCCTTTGATTCGTATGTTAGCCTCCTTTGTTGGCGACACGACAGTTTTGTCGCCATTTCTTCAATTGTTATTGATGCGTTTTTGTTTATTTTCTTGGTTTTGCTTTTCTTTTTCATTTTGTTTTTCTTTCGATGTT